GTAACCAATGGCCTGACCTTCATTAGAGGCTTCTCCCCTGCAGGTGCAATGCATTCCTTTGAGCCTGTGGACAAAGTGCTACTCAAAACCTGGATGACAGCATCTCTGGAAAGCCAACCAGAAGCAAAGTGGACTGGACCTTGGGACGTACTCCTCACCATACCCATCATGGTGCAGTTGGCAGGAGTAAAACCTGGGACTCATCACACCAGAGTAAAGCAAGTACCAGAGGAACGATGGACCGCCGAACCGCAGGAAGACCTGAAAGTCATCTCCCGAAATCAATGACTCACGTTCTTTTCATTACTACTTGCTTAACTCCTTGTTATGGACAACTTATCCCTTTCGCACAAGATTAATATATTTCAGTGTCTTTAACAAAAATGTTCTCAATATGTCTGACTCTTGTCTCACAGGAGGAACTTACGTTGAACAGACTTTCACTTCATGTCTGGTAGGTGTCTGTGCCCCTTTCGAAAGCCTTAGAAATTATACTGTGTTTGAGCATATCAAAAAGAAAGTGACCTACTCTGATATTTACACTTGAGGACCAGTGGCCACTCTAAAGGACAGGGAAATGTTTTCCTTGAAGGTCACTAATGTAGCCCCAGCTCGAGAGTGTGCAACTTTTGCCAGTTGTCCTAAAACTGTTCTGTGCTCTCAGCAGGTATGACAATGAATTGCACCACCACCAGTAATGTATCTTATGCTTTTGCTCACGTAAAATTGCCTGCAGGATGGCTTTTAATATGTGAAAGGACTTTTTATTCCTATGTTCCAGCCCACAGTTCTGGGGGACCATGCCCTCTGGGAAGACTGACGGTGCTTATGCCTCAGAAGCCCCACCAGACCCAGGCTTGACAGGCCTGATTGTAAGAGTGAAATCACACCTTTTTAGACCCCACTGAATATGCGTCTTTAACAATATGTGTAACGCCAGCCACGGTAACCTATCCGAATGTAGAAATAAGCAGATTAGCCTGGGCCATGGCAAAAGCTTTCAATGCCACCTCCCAAGCCACCAATGCCATCCGTCAAGAACTAGGACAAGTCAGAGAAGCAGTCCTGGAGAACTGTGTGTCTATAGACTAACTTCTTTGGAGACGTGATCATGAATGCAAAGAATTTAAAGGTCTTTGCTGTTTCAACCTGACAGATCTTATGCAAATAAGATATTATAAAACTGATAGTGAGGGAATGACAGGGGGTTCAAGAGTTGGAAATTTTTTGTTTAAGGTAAATAATAAGCCTAGTAGATCATGCAGATGTGAAAGCTATTGGTTCAGGAACTGCAGGTAAGGCCCACTACTCCTGGAAGAGACAGCCCACCTTCTGGGGCACAGCTGGAGATATCTGAGCCATTGTGTTCCAGGGAGTACAGACCGGATGCCCCTCCCCGACAGCTAACCACCCAGGGTCAGAGTGCTGCAGTGTTTTAATCTAATTTTCCCCTGAATTAAAAAACCCCTCACTATAACTTGTTCTCTGTTATGAAGAGGCTGGCTTGGAAGGAAACATAAGGTGGACCGTTAGGGTGTGAACCTGTTACCGAACAACAAGAGGAGGTCCGAGGGAGGGGCAATACAATATTTGGCCCACCTAGGGATGCCCAAAACTGCTGTACAACAGGGGCCCCTCCCGAAAACCAAAATACTAAAATCTACTGGGCCCTTCTGTCCGCCGCCAATTGGAAACACATCTCTTAATGCCAGAGATTTGTGAAAAGGAAACAAAATGTTTATTTAATGCTATTCAGGCCTAATGCCACCACTAAAATATCAAAGTCCTTTAGGTTGTACACCTACACCCACACAGCGCTCCCTTCTCCCTCTGTCCCAACTCCGGGTACCGTAAATCAGGAAAAGAGCACACGTCTGTGTTGCAGGCCGCTGGCACCGTCAGCTGTATCACTGTGCAGGATCTCGAGTTAATCCAAAGTACTGTGGTACCCTCTCATGGTCCACTGGCAAGAGTCCTTTGTACCCAGTTCCAGTCACAGTCTCTCTTGCTTTTTCAGGCCCCGCAGCCAAAGGGGGCACCCCAAAGCTGCGTGGGCCTCTTCTACCAAAGCTGCAGGAGTCCGCACTCCACCAAAAGCATGTGGCTGTCTTCTTCACCTGGCTGCAGGGATCTCCATTCTGGCCAAACTGCGTGGTTTTTCCCTTTCACCTGGGAAAGAGGGGGTCCACACTCCGCCAAAACCACGTGGCTCCCTCTTTCACCCCACCAACAGGGGGTCCTCACTCTCCTGAAACCGCGTGGCTCTCTCTCCCAGGCCTTCCCACTCAGGAGCGCAGCCCTTCGTTACATCTTGAGTCCAAACCCTTCTCACTCAGGAGCGCAGCCCCTCGTTCCATCCTCAGTCCCTGCTACCTCCTTCCTTCTCCCTGGCCCCAAACTTGGCCACTCCTATTTAACATATCTATGAAACCAGTTAGAGGTTATAGATATGTTAAATAACCATTCCTCCAGAGGTTAGCTCCAAAACTGTTGCTATGCAAAATAGCTCTCAATGGCCTGGCTCCATTCATCCCTTCCCCCTGGGGGTGGGGCGGTGAGGACATCTTATATGTCTCTCCAATATTTCTATACACTTTGAATTCTGGACACCTTTCTAAATCTTTTTTTTGGGGGCCCCCCCGGCTGCACCCTGTATCAAACCCGCTGCCTTCTCAGGTCGCCGGCCATCTGACTCAGTAAAGAGCCCGTAAAGATTCCATCCCAGTCTCTGATGAAGGGTTTTGGTATGTGACGGGCAGCACAAATGCTTGCTTTTCCGGTTCCGAGCTAGAACGTGCTGGGGCCAAACCCCCAGGAGAGCACCAGCGCCATCCTGGGGAGGGAAGGGTGGAGGTAGAATGTGGGCCTCTGGGTTTAGCTGTCCCGGGGCTTCCAGGTAAAAGCAAATGAGGTAGAGGCTCCTTGGAGCTGAGTGCACAGGCTCTCCAGGACTGTGGGCACCAGGAGTGCGGAACACACTGAGGGTGGGCGAGATGTAAGAAGAACACTGCACAGGACAATGAGCTTCCAGCCTCTTTAGCAGCCACCCATCAGACCCACTGCAAGGAGGAGTCTCATTTGGGCTCAGGTAGGAAAGTCTGAAAGGACAGCTGGTTCTTGCCTTCAGGGGAGGAGGGGAAAAGCATAATGGAGTACAGCCAGGCTCCCCCAAAGAGGGGTTCGTAATGGAATTCAGAACTCAGGGTGTCCAGAAAATACACAAATATAGGGTATCCCCACCCCCACAAGTCTGGGCTGGGGGAAGGGACCTATGAGCAGAGCCTCTGAGAGTTACTTTGCAGGCCAGCTTTATACCTGGTATGCAAAAACGCTTATTTTGTGTATTCATGACAGCTTCCAGCCAGAGTGGAGCCAGAAGGCACCCATAACTTTGACCCCTGAGGTAACTGGAAGGCAGCTGTCCCTGGTTACAGCTCCTGTGTGAGAACTCGGAGACGGTTCCCTCCACGCCACAGGCTCACGTCTGCCTGGACTGACTGTGGCAGCCCAGGAAGGCTGGAAACTGCGAGAGTGCTGACTTGTGGGAGTGGCAGGGGACTCGAGAGTGGGAAAACCCTTAGCTTCATGTAAACAGTTAATAAGCCTAGTAGGTAACGGATGTGTTAATGCTATTTGTGTCAGGAACTGCAGGTGTGGCAGTTCCCTGCTCTCAGGAGAGCTGGTCGACCTCCTGGGGCACAGCTGGAGACCACCACTGGGGCACAGCTGGAGACCACCACCTGGGGCACAGCTGGAGACCACCTCCTGGGGCACAGCTGGAGACTTCGGATACATTCTGTTCCAGGAGAACACAAACACCCACCAGCCCGGAGACAGCAAGAATGCAGCACTTTTCCAATCTAATGTTCCCCTGAATTCCAAACCCCTTCACTGCACCTTGTTCTCTGTTATAAAAAGGCTGGTTTGGAGGGCAATGTAAAAACAGTCCGTTAGGGTATAAACCCACCGTCTTGCCCGCCACCTGAATAAAACACCCATGAAGATATTCCTTCCTTGCCTCTAATTATTGGGTTTGGTTTCTGCCAGGAGCAGGAGGAGAACCGGTTTTTCCTGATTCAGGAGGAATTGGAAAAAAGGGACGGAGGAGGGGCCAGGCTGAAATTTAAACTAAAGGCGGGTGGCCACAAGGGACAAGGGACAGGGGACAGGAGACAAGGCAGGACTAGGGACTGGGGCAGTCTGAGACCCCACAGAAAGGAAGGGGCAAAGGGGTGTTAATCAGGCGAGGAGAAGGTGCCAAGTGGTTTTGGACTGAGAACTGCTGATCACCGACCACCACAGGGCTGACGGTGCTGGGACCCTGCCCAGCCAAGCACAAATTTCTGAGAGGAACCAGGAAAAGCGAGGTGCGGATTTCTGTTCTTTTTCTTCTGGAGCACGGTACTTTCTGATTGGCATGTTCTGAGACTGGCTTGACTGGGAAAAGGGGGAAGGAAGGATTGCATGTGTTTGTGGGTGTTTTAAGGGACTTTGGCATTTTAATGGCGACATTCTGTCATTCCTCTAAACCTGTACAACTTTTGAATAAGTAGTCCTGTTCCTTTCCACCAAACGCTGGCATTGAGAACCACGGTTCCTAACACCTGGGGGCGGGCAAAGAAGCCACTGTGACAGAGAGACCCTTTACCTGGACCCGCCCACAGGTCCATGCTGCAACAGGGACCCTGAATCCGATCTGAAAAGGAGACCCGTGAGGTGTGATGTTTCCGGTTTTTCACTGAAAAAGAACTTGAGACACAGAATGATAAATGGATAGAAATAGGCAGCCAGATTCCCAGGGCTGATGTAGGAGCCGTCTCAAGTCTGGACTTCTGAGACTCAGGAAAGAGGGATTGGGGAAACTGGGACCCTGGGTCTGAGAAAGAGGAAGCTGGGGACCAGGACTCCTGGGTCCTGAATTCTCTGTCCTTCCAGCCCCAGCAGAAGACGCCCATCCTCCTTCCTTCACGTGGCAGCCCCCAGAGGCTCTCAGAGGCCACATGGCAGGTTCCCTTCATATGCCCCTGCTGATCCTGCTGCTGTCCTTAACCCTGGGAGCTGCTGGACAAGGAGGTGAGGGCCAGATGGGGAGGCCTGTCCTTGCCCCTGAGCCTCACACTGTCCCCACCTTCTCCCCCCAGGGCAATTCCCCTCTTCACAGAAGCTGAGTCAGAGCCCCGCCCACCCCCCAACCCCACAGAAGCTTCCTCCCAAGCACACTGGGCTCTCCTGCTGGGGCCCCTTTTCTCTGCTTCCCTCTGACTCATGGGGCCCCTGTGCCCGCCAGGCTGCCTCCTGCCCTCAGTGTCTCTCCCCCATCAGCCTCTGGGGTTGCCTCCAGACCAGACGCCCCCACCCTGCATTCTGAGCAGGCCCCTCCATGGGTCCCCTTCTCGATCTGCAGCTTTCTCTGCAATGTACTCAATTTCTGCCCCTGCCCCTCTCCACATCTCTCTGTCTGCCTCTCTTTCTCCCTGTCTCTGGGCATCCATCCACCCTGACCTCAGTCTTTTCCTGGTGCCTGCTACCCATGCTTTTTCCATGTCTCCATGCAGCCGACAATACTGAGAAAAAGATTGTTAATGGACTTCCATGTCCAAGAGGCTCCCAGCCCGGGCAGGTGGCCCTGTTGTCTGACAGAGAGTTCCAGTGTTCAGGTGTGCTGCTCAGCGAGCTGTGGGTGCTCACGGTCGCCAGCTGCAACATGAGGTGTGTGGCAGTGTCTCCTCTCCCTGTATGGTTCTCCTCCACACTCTGGGTCTCTCTCTACCCTCCTTCCATCTCTGTCCCCTGGTCTCTCGGGAAGTCTGCCCCCCTGTTCATTCCCCTCTCTCAGCCACGGCGTCACCCTCTGCCTGTTGTTGCTGCTGGTTTTCAGTGAGTACACCGTGCACATGGGCAGTGATCTCCTGGATGATGACAAGGCAGTGAAGATCAGGGCCACGGAGTCATTCGTTCACCCCAGGTTCCAGAGTCAGAACTACATTCATGACCTCATGCTGGTGAAGCTGAGCCGCCCAGCCCTGCTGTCAGAGGCTGTGAGGAAGGTCACACTGCCCTCCCGCTGCAAACACCCTGGGGCCAACTGCACTTTTTCTGGCTGGGACGGCAGAGACACGAACCTAGGTGAGGCTGCGCCTGTGGCTGAGTAACCTGGATGCTCCATGCAATCCTCTCCCACACCCAGGAGTCCAAGCTCCCAGGTTTTCTACCCTCAGATCCAGAAGCCATGGTCTTCAGAACTTCCTCCCCCGCCCACCAAGACCCATAATTTCAAATCTAAGGTCTCCATTCCTCAGGCCCAAGAGTCCAGGAGCACAGCCAGCTTCTCACTCAGACGGTGGACTCCTGTCCTCAGATGCATCATCTCCAGAGACTTAGGGACCCAGGACCCAGCCCTGTCCTCCCACAGACCCAGAAAGCCTGGCCCCTGGCACGACCCTCCCTCAGACTCAGGAGCTTAGACACAGGCCCCTTTCCCATGATACCCAGGAGTCCAAGGGTAGGTACCTGCTCACGACCACAGCATTGAGTCACCCCGCCTCTCCTTAATCCATATCCGAGGCTGCTATTCTTTCACATCGGCACCCAGGGGGCCACCAGATTAAGCTTCCGACTCCCCCCTCCCTTGCCTGACAGTGACACAGCCATCAGTGCTCCGGTGCGCCAACGTCACCCTCATCTCCCACAAGGTCTGCGGGAAGCTGCACAGTGCCCGGCCGAAGACACACATGATGTGCACAGCTGCCCCTGCCAGAGTCCCCTGCGCCTACAGAGTGAGTCCCCTCCTCCCCTGCCCTGGGTCCCGCTTCCTCTCAGCCCTCAGTTCCCCTCCACCCAGAGTCTGCGCGCGAGCCCTGGTGCCCAGCCTCCCCTCAGCACCTGACCAGTCTCACTTTGCTGGTCTCTCTCTGCTCAGTTCTCTGCCTCAGCCAGAGGGGCCCAGAGTAGTCCCTTCCCTGCCTGCAGAGTCTCACACTGCGTCAGTCCCTAGTCCTGTGTTGTCTCCTGTCCCTCATCCCTTGTGGCCACCCGCCTTTAGTTTAAATTTCAGCCTGGCCCCTCCTCTGTCCCATTTTTCCAATTCCTCCTGAATCTGGAAAAGCCGGTTCTCCTGCTGCCTGTCAGAAACCAAACTCAATAATTAGAGGCAGGGAAGGAATATCTTCATGGGTGTTTTATTCAGGTGGCAGGCAAGACGGTGGGTTTATACCCTAACGGACTGTTTTTACATTGCCCTCCAAACCAGCCTTTTTATAACAGAGAACAAGGTGCAGTGAAGGGGTTTGGAATTCAGGGGAACATTAGATTGGAAAAGTGCCGCATTCTTGCTGTCTCCTGGCTGGTGGGTGTTTGTGTTCTCCTGGAACAGAATGAATGTATCCGAAGTCTCCAGCTGTGCCCCAGGAGGTGGTGTCCAGCTGTGCCCCAGGTGGTGGTGTCCAGCTGTGCCCCAGGAGGTCGACCAGCTCTCCTGAGAGCAGGGAACTGCCACACCTGCAGTTCCTGACACAAATAGCGTTAACACATCCGTTACTTACTAGGCTTATTATATTGACTGTTTACGTGAAGCTAAGCGTTTTCCCACTCTCAAGTCCCCTGCCACTCCCACAAGTCAGCACTCTCGCAGTTTCCAGCCTTCCTGGGCTGCCACAGTCAGTCCAGGCAGACGTGAGCCTGTGGCGTGGAGGGAACCGTCTCCGAGTTCTCACACAGGAGCTGTAACCAGGGACAGCTGCCTTCCAGTTACCTCAGGGGTCAAAGTTATGGGTGCCTTCTGGCTCCACTCTGGCTGGAAGCTGCCCCAGAGTGGCTCCCCCAGAGCCCACATGGCCCTGGGGGAGGGCACAGGGTTGAAGGTTAGAAACTGGAGGGGAGAAAATGGGGCAGGGACCAGGGGAAAGGGGAGGGAGGCACAGGCTCCAAGCACGAACTTTAAGAGGGCACCAAACACTCAGGGACCAAGACGAATCCTATTCCAATGACTATTTAAAAAAATAATTCTTGTGGCCCTGGCTTGTGTAGCTCAGTGGATTGAGCATGGGCCTGCAAACCAGAGTATTGCGGTTCGATTCCCAGTCAGGGCACATGCCTGGGTTGCAGGCCAGTTCCCAGCAGGGGACACACGAGACATAACCATACATTGATATTTCTCTCCCTCTCTCCTTCCCTTCCCCTCTAAAGGTAAATAAATAAAATCTTTTAAAAATAATAATAATTCTTGCAAAAAATCCTTGATGACCAAAATATCAATTTTTAAAATAAAGAATAATCAGACATTACTGAATTTTCCATTTGCCTTGGGCTCCTATATAATTCAGCTTAGCATGGTACCAACCTTGGGTTTATCTAAAGTTGGAATACCAAGTTCGTCATGGATTTTTTTTTATATTGAATTTGATTTTTAAAGTATACGTTAAAATTCTCATTGCGATCACTGAGATGTGCCAGAAGCTAATGTTTGGCTTCTTTACTTATGTTTGTATCTGTTCCTGGTCCTGGGAAAAGAAGGAGCCCATCCTCCCCTTTCGTTCCCCCTTCCTCATCTCTGTAATCCCATGTCTGAGAATCATCTTTCCTCATCATCCTTCACATCTCATTTCAAGTCCTTGTTCTCCTCTGTATTCTCTCTGTGTTAGGATTGATCTCTCTCTGTCTGTGCCTCTCTCACTCTTTTGTTTCCCTCCATTTCTGCCTCTTTTTCCACTGCCAACATTTCTGCTTCTCTGTCCCCCTTCTTCTTCCCTCCCTGCTCTTCACCCTTCTCTCTCTCCCTATTTCTCTTTCATCCTCTGCTTCTTTGTAGCCCCATTCTCTTGGCTCACATCTGCACACTCGGCTTTCAGAAGCTGCTGGATTGTGTGTGTTAGGGGTAGAGGCAATTGAAGACACCTGTATGTCCTAAAGAAAGGGGGTCCCCTTTGGTCCCTTGAAGGCCTGATTCATGAAAGTGCAAGTTGTGCATGGACACAGCGCCCCACACTCAGAAGAGTCACACATTTAGCTTAAGGCACTCATTTTGTTGTGTCAGAATGTATATGTTTGTACCTGGTAGTCCACATTTTCATCTTGCACTGAACCCTGTGAATCAGGTCATTGGTCCAGCCCCTAGTTTTTCAGACTAGCTTGTCCCCCATCCCTGGGTAAGTTCATGGGTAAATGTATTAATTTTCTGGAGATAATGGTCTTTCTCAAAATTGCTTGGCAAAGACTTATTCACGATGGAACATTAATGAAGCTATGACTTCCAAGAAGCCCACCCCCTCCCTGTGATTGGCCTTATTGGCCAGGGTTCAAGCAAATCTCTTCAGAAACCCTCCTTTCTCCTCTCTCCAGGGTAGCATTAATTCCTGCTCTCCCATTGGTGCACAGAGACAATGAGTCTCTTCCTATTGGCCAGGGTGGAAGATGGGTGTGGCAGGACAAAGACTTGATAACCACGGAGTGTAGGAGAGAGACCTCAGTGCTGGTTGCTCTAAGGACAAAGTTGATCTGCTCTCTCCCTTCCAGGGTGACCCAGGGAGTCCCCTGATGTGTGAAGGCTCCCTGCAAGGCCTGGTGTCCCATGGATATGTTCCTTCTATAGAACCATTTGACCCAGTCGTCTACACCCACCTATGCTTGAACTACAAATGGATACATAAAACCATGGAAGAAAATTCCTAATTTCTCCACACTCCCACCTCTCTACTCCTATGCCCTATAGCAAACTATTGGGGGAAAATTTGTATATTATATAATTGTTTAACCATTTTGGAAGAATTTGAAACTAGTATAAATTCATATTGAGGTCAACAGGAATTGGAAAATAAAAATTTAAATGTATTATTTTAAAAAAAAGAAAAAATAGGAGATCTACTTCCAGCTGTTAATTCAACACTTGTGAGGATCTAACAGGCCCCAGGTGCTGTAGTGGATGCGTCCCAGTCTCCATGGGGTTGCCCACCAGGTGGGGAAAATTGACAATAAATAAATATACCTAAAATGAAATGCTATGTGTAGTTATGAGCTGTAATGAAATACCATGCCCAGTAAGAAGACAGGGATTGGAGAAGGAGTGGTGTTTTAGTTAAAATGGTCAGCCCTGGCCCATGTGGCTCAGTTGGTTGGAGCACTCTCCAGTGCACCAAAAGATTGAGGGTTCAATTCCTGGGCAAGGCACAAACCTAGGTTGCAGGTTTGGTTCCTGTGCAGGGCACACACAGGAGACAGCTGATCAATGTTTCTGTCATCTCTCCCTCTCAGTAAATGTATCCTTGGGTGTTGATTTAGAAAATAATAAAAGGGTAAGAGAAGGCTTGTGGGAGGAGTTGACATTTAGAAAAAATAGGATTTAGCTGAGATGGAGAATCTGGTGGTTTCTGTTTGTGAGGAGATTGGAGGGAGAGGGGAAGAAGTATCACGAGGGGGCACTTCTGAGTCCTCCAATCTCTGATACTTAATGGCTCTGGTTGGGACACAAAAGGCAGATGCAGTGGTCCTACGCCAGGTGGGGAAAAGAAACAGCAGGGACCAGGGCTTTGTTCAAAGTGGTGAGAAGGGACAATGAGCCCTGTGACCGCCCTGGTCAGCTGTGGGTGCACCAGGAAAGTCAGATGCAGACAGGGGTGGAGGGAAAGGAGTGCTGTCTCTGGGAACATGCAACCCCTGCCTCCTGAGAGAACTCTCCTGACGCCCTCAACTGTGCACAAGTAGAAATCTTTTCTGGAAGCTGTGTGAGGACGTCTGCCCTGGGCAAGTCACCCAAGAAGGGTCTGTGCAGGAGGTGTCAGTGGGGCTGACCTGAGCCAGGTGAGCGACCTCTGAGACCTCTTTCCTCCCTCACCTCTCACCCCCTGAAGAGGCTGGAGGAGTGGCCACTGGGGGCTCTCAAGGGTCCGCACACACTGAGGTCATCTGTGTCAGACAGAGACTTTCCCTGTGGGTCCCACAGCACAGGGAGAAGGGGTGTTAAATGTTTGCTTTTGTTGCCTTGCCAACACCTGTGTGCTTGATGAGGGTTGGGGGCAGGGGAGTTAAGTGGGGTGAGAGGAGATGCCCATGAAAAAGAGGGTCTGAGGCTGGACCACACACAACCTTCCTCTCCCTGCCTGAGGGTCAGTCTCTGACATTTGTGCTGACTCTGCCGTCGATCAGCTAGTCAGTCCCTTCTTTCTGGCTGGGTTCCCTGGCTCAGCTGTCTGCTCCTATAATTGGTTATTGGGGAGCAATGCCCTCTTCTTAGTTTTCAGGGAATAGTGTCATGGATTCCACTGCTCCTTCAAAGATGTCCCATCCCCAGGATGACACATCCTGGGATTTCCCCCACAGGTAAAACACTCTCTTTCCCATTGGCTGCACCTTCAGTCCTCAGGGCTCTCACTGGCTTTGTTCCCTTCACAAAAGCCCCACCCCTTTGTCAATGATTGGTCCCTGAAGATGATGCTTCAATGAGCTCTTCCCTAGTGGCCAGGATCACTGTCATTCCATCAGCGCTCTTGCCTTGAAGTCCAATCTCTCTGGATGATTCGCAGAAACATCGTTTTCTTCCCTGAGACCCTCCCACCGGGGCATATGTGTGTGTGTGTGTGTGTGTGTGTGTGTGTGTGTGTGTGTGTGTGTGCAAAGAAGACTGCTTTTTTCTCCTGTGTTTGGTACCTGGATTCGATATTCTCTTCCGCAGAAGTCAGGAAAGAGATGATAACAGCTGAGCCCCCGCTTTCTGTTGTTCTCTGGATGACACCCTCAAGTCACCGTTCTCCTCTCTCATTTGTCAGGATTTTCCTTGTGGCTGTTAGACATCCATATACACGTGGAGAGTGATTTCTGTTCTAAGAAGTTGGGTGGCTTACGTGACGGAAAGGAAATAACTTGTTCCAGTAAATCGAAAATTCAGGAATAGAATCGTTGACTGTGGCATGTGGCAGAGGACCAGAGCCCCAGGCGTGGACAGTAACTGAAGTGACCGTCGTCCTAGGCAGCAACTTGTGTCTCGAGTAGTCGGGGAGCATGTGCCTGAAAGTGTCAGTGACCCAGTTCAAGCTGGTTTGACCATAAGAGGGACTGGTTCCTTCAGGTGGCTAAGAAGGCCATGGGCCTGAATCGTTATGTTAGGGTCTCAAGAGGTTGCAGTGGTGACTGTAGCCCATCGGCTTGTTCTCGTCTCTCTGTCATTCTGCCTGGCTCCTTTCACCCTTTTGTCCCTGTTTCTCTGTCCACAAGTGTCCAGTGTTTCTCATCATTGCTTATCTCTTTCCTTCTCCTGGGGCTGTCATTCCACCTTCTGTAGAAAGACTTCTTCACCTGATGAGAACATAGCAGGTACTATCAGCAACAAATACACACACACCCAGTGGACATAAAGACCTCTTTCTCCTGACACCCTGATGTTCATTCCTGAATGAGCTCCAATTGGCCCAGCGTGAACAGGGCCCAACCCTTGGATTAATCTTTATTACTAAGGAAGTAAGTGGTGCCCTTGTGGGCTTAGCCTGAGTCAGGTGTCCACCCCAGTGTGTGGGAGGGGTTGGGGAATTAAGACTGACAATTTCACCAGAGCATATAAGAGGATGGCTTCCCAGAAGAAAAAGATTCTCTGCCCTCTCCTGGAAGAAGTGGGTACAGAATCCAGGAGGTAAAAAAGAAAAAAAATCAATGGGTCTTCACATCTTTTCATATGTCTATCGTCCATTTGTA